AAAGCTAAGTGAGGTCGGATTTAATTACTATTCGGATGAGATTCTACCCAGAATTATCGGGGCTGTTAGACTGGGAAACCAGAAAAATGTTCTGGAAGAAAGCAATACAAATCCATCTATAATAATTGCCAAGAAAACCACCTGTTCTTGACATCACCAAGAATCCAGTTGAACTATACTAAGCAAGGTAGTCTATCTTGGGGGTCTTCAAGGGTTCAAGATTTCTCCCAAAGTTCAGATCTGGAATCTAAATTGGATAAAAGCCCTACCAAAATTCTGTGACTGTCCATTTCAGCAAGTACAGTATTTGTTTATGGAGATTCTCAGTCATCCAGGTCATGGTGGTCCCAAAGGTGCTTTTTCAAAGGCAACTGGACAGATCAGAGCTGAAGAAGCCTCTTGGATGAGAAGCGAAACATCTTCAAGGAAAAACAAAGAAAGTCCAGTTGCCTTTTGAAAAAGTAGCTTTGGGACAATCAGGACTTTGTGAATTCAGCAAGTAGTTAGGAACTGACCAGGAATATAATTCAAATGTGACAATATGATAAAATTACAAATTATGATGGGAGAGTGGTAAATAAATCTGACACATATTGGTGGCAATCTCCTTTGGGTTAAAAGAAATAAGGAAGAAAACTAACTTTTTACAACAAATCCTCTTGTTTATTGCCATATTTCCTAAGGCATATAGACCGATGTAATATAATCCCTTTACTCAATTACTTTTTGTTAACTGCTAGCATTTCTTATTGCAAAACACAAAAAAACACCCTTCCCCCCCACACACCCAAAATATTTTTCATGCCATTTGCGATATTCAAAATTACAGGGAATTGCTCTGGCTTAAAATAATGATAGAAAAAGACTTTGAGAAATCCTACAAAGAAGGATAAATTTACTGGTCTCTTAACTAGATTAACAATGTTTTTTTACTAGATTACCTTCATAAAATTCATTTTGGGCAGAAATGTTGAATAGGAATGCCTAAAATGCTTATATTTTTCCTTATGATCACATACATATATTATACATGTAAACGCTCTTTTTATCTATTTGCTTGTAAATGAAACAGGTGCTTTGTCAGGAGGCAACTGGAATTTCTTCTTTTTCTTTGAAGATGTTTCACTTCTCACCTAAGAAGCTTCTTCAGCTCTGACTGAATGGTGGGGGAAAGGGAAGGATTTATACTCCTTGCAGACAGTTGGTCATTTGCCTTCTTTCAGAGAGTCCTTGAAGCCACTTGGAGGTTTATCTGTGTCCTCAGGGTCACCTGAGTGTTGCAAATGGGTGTGGAGCCTTCTTGGAACTGCTGAAAGGACTGTGTTGTAGACTGGAGATAGATGATGTCATATTTGTCCCCTTCTGTTGAGAGAGGACTGTTCAGTTTTGACATAGATGGCCTCTTTGACCCCTCTTTCAAGCCAGCAGTCCTCTCTGTCCAAAATGTGGACTTTGCTGTCTTTGAAAGAACGGCCTTTTGAAAAAAGAGCGTCATCATAAAATAGATGTCAACAAAGCTTGTCCTTCCTTGCCTTTAGTTGCCAACCTGATGTAGGAAAAGGGTCGTAGATGAAAAAATTCTGACCATAGTTCTCAAAGATCTCCTTCCCATCTTTTCATGGTCAAATATTTGGGACTTAGCTGATCAGGAAATGGAGGGGATTCTTCAGTAGCCACTAGCAGGAGATTGGGGGAAATGGATTGATTTCCCCTCCCTCAAACCAGGGCTTAGGGCAGGGGTAGGTAACCTTGGTTCTTTTATGACTCCTGGACTTCAACTCCCAGAATTCCTGAGCCATCCATGCTGAGGGGAAGGGAGAGTTTCCAAGCTGAGCCATGCTGGCTCAGGAATTCTGGGAATTGAAGTCCACGAGTCATAAAAGAGCCAAGGTTGCCTACCCCTGTTTGTAGATGATGTCGTATCTGTCCCCTTCTGTTGAGAGAGGACTGTTCAATTTTGACATAGATGGCTCTTTGACTCCTCTTTCAAACCAGCAGCCCTGTCCAAAAAGTGGACTTTGCTGTCTTCAAAAGAGTGGCCTAAAGCAGTCCATTATTTTGAATTCTACGGGTAGTCCTCAACTTACGACCACAATTGAGTCCAAAATTTCTGTTGCTAAGTGAAACATTTTAAAGTGAGTTTTGCTCCATTTTATGACCTTTCTTGCCACATTTGTTGTTAGTAACACGGTTGTTAAGTGAATTTGGCTTCCCCATTGAATCTTTGCTTGTCAGAAGATGGGGAAAGGGGATCACTTGACCTTGGGACACTGCAACCGTCATAAATGTGAGTCAGCTGCCAAGCATCTGAAGTTTGATTGCGTGACCATGGGGATGCTGAGTGAAAAATGGTCATAAGTCATTTTTTTTTCAGTGGTGTTGTAACTTTGAACAGTCACTAAACAAACTATAAATCGAGGACTACCTGTATTGGGGGGGGGCTATTTTTTGTTCATTTGTTTGTTTAGTTAAAAAAAATCCTTACAGATCAATCTCAAACTTATTTCCAGTAACAAGCCACATCCAGAACACACAGCGTGTCCTTTGAAAGCATCCAGTGCTTTTCCATTAGGCCTGAGTAATTTCTGCCCAACACCATACATCTAACATTAGGGAATAGCCCTGACAATGTGCATCCTTCTTTTCTAAAACAAAATCACACAAATATTTTATGTTATGAATATAAGAAGAAATGCTCCTTTGTTTTCCTTTGAATTACTTGTTTTTATAGGATGGTGGCCTTCTTTAAAAAAACAACAAAAAACACATTTCCTTAACAGACAGCCTGACAAAATAAGGCGTGGAATTCCTGTAGCCTGATCTTTAGAAAGGTAATGATTCAAATATTATTTTTAGTTGTGTCGCGTGCAGGCAGTAATTAATCTCAAGTGAAATGGGAGAACAACCCTTGCACAGATTATTCTTTCATTTAAACATATGTTCTTAAAATGTCAAGCAATTTATTTTACAACGTCAGGGCTGTAACCAAAATTCACAAAGGAGCCCTTTTCTGTTTTCAGCAAGAGATAAAGAGGCTCAGATCCAAGCTGTTTGCTTGTAGTTCTACTCGGGGTTTGTTTGTTTGTTTCTTTCCTTAGTCCACCAAGATGTAAAATTTTTTGAAAAGTCAGGATCTATAAAATAGTCGCAAGTCAATCATGTGTAATTCAAAACATCCCAATTGGAAGTGTGAAAGGGCCTGTTTTCAATGTACAACAGCTGCTCCAAAAGCAAAACAAGCTGTTTTCAGCATTTTTTCACACTCAAAAACAGCTGTTTGCACATGAAATAGGGCAGTTCAATTTGAAATGGGAGGGGGGGGGTGTTCCGGTGTTGGAGCATTTACCGAACCTGCCTCCAGAAACGGTAAATGCCTCAACACTGGAAGTTTTTAAGAAGAGACTGGACAGCCATTTGTCCGAAATGGTATAGGGTTTCCTGCCTGAGCAGGGGGTTGGACTAGATGACCTCCAAAGTCCCTTCCAACTTTACTATTATTATTATTATTATTATTAATTTCAAAACTCTTCATCATTGACAACAAATCTATTAACCAAGTCTCTGGACTATAATGTATGTGTCTGGCCCAAACAGTCCTGTTTCCTATTCATTGTGTTGTGCAAAATTATTGTTTTGCTTAAATTTCAGAACTCTTTACAATTCTGTTTACATATCAAAGTCTGAGAAGCTCTCATCTTATATATAGGGAGCATCCTTCAAAAAGTAAAAGAACAGGGAAGCTATTTCGTGTTGAAGCTTCCCATAGGCAAAGATTCCTTTATATCTGACTGTAGAATGTGAAGTAGCTACTTATGGATAGCTGGGAAACTAATACAATTTCAACTGCTCACAACTTCAAAACTTACCTGTGAAAACTGTGCCTCTTCCATTTGGCTTGAAAAACTGGAACAGTTGGAAGCATGAGGGCTGACACACACCCCCAAAAAACCTGGCTACAGCAGCTAGACTATAGCCCCCATTATTATATAGTATGGGTGGCCAGGTTGGCTGGCCCATGCTAAACCTTGTAGCCCAAGGATGAGAGTTTATTTATTTAAGAAAACTTAAATGGCCGTCCAATTCACTCTTAATATAAAAATAATAAAAAGGCAATAAACCCTCCCCACTCCACTTCCCTGACGACAACAATCAGATGTGCCATTTGATAGGTTCCATCCCATTCTGAAGTCCCTAGACCCGTTGGCAAAATCAGGTTTTCAGTGTCAAGTGGAGGCCAATCTTATCTCTGTGGGGATGATGTTCCACACTGAGAGAGCCACTATGGAGAAAGCCCTTCTTCTTGATCCTGCTTGATGGACCATCTTGGAAGAGGCGACCTGTAGCATCCCTGTTTCTCTGCTCTGGGTTGGGTAGATATGACCAGGAAAAGACAATCCTTCAAATAGTCTGACTTGGTTATATTCAAATGCATGATACTGATGGGAATTTTTAATCCAAAAAGTTAAAACTGGAAGAGGCCATAAACTATCAACCTTTCAAGAGCTGTTCCCTACAGCCTCCAACATAGCCAGTTATCTGAGATTCTGGTAGCCGGTTGTCTGAATTCTCTCATACATACAACAAGCAGGACGTGACGGTACTGAAAAAGCGTCAGATATTTTCTGGGCCAAATTAGCACAGACATCATCACCCTATCAGCAATTGTAAGAATTACTACTTTAATAGCAAGGGACTAAATTTGGATCTTTATAGGAACCATAAGGCTTTGTGGTGATGACTCATTCAGTGGAGGGGAGAAGAAAGAAGAGATTTTAAATAATTTATTTAAATAATCGTTATTTGTTATTTCTTAATGTGAAGAAGGCTTGATTGGTTGACCACACTCCTAGTCAGGACTGCAAGATTGGTGTGCAGTTACATCCTTCCCTTATAACATACACCAGTTTGGATTCATATACTTTTTAATAACTTAAATATCATAATTTTAAAACTCTGAACCACTGAGGTGCTTTTATCAAGATCCATTCCAATACTGACCATCATGTTTTGGAATACTTTATTTATATATCACAATTCACAAATGCTTAATTTTAAGTACAAAATTCACACCAAAATAATCATTTCTCAGTTGTTTTCTGAAATCAAGACTGAAGTCAACGTATGCCCTTACAGCAAAATTAGCGGTACAAATTTTCAACATTCAAAGCTTCCTGCATTTATTCACCTGGGCCTTGGGACATTCAAAGAACACTGAAACTGTAAAATGGAGGCACCACAGTTTTAATCCGTTTTGTAAGCACTTAGTAAGGACGAGGTATCATGAAAAAAATTCCAGGACATTGTTTGTTTCATTCTTTCTCTTTTTCACAGCACGAATCAGTCACTGGTCTAAGCCATGGGCAGGTCATAGGAAGCTGGATGTCTGCCAGTCACATGATAATAAATCTGTGCAATGGAAATAAAGAGAGCAGAAATTAAACCAGTATAATAAAACTGGCAAATCATGGGTAGGTTAATGCAAAGATGGACCCAGCGGATAGACACTTAATTATTCACACTGATTAAGAACATGCCTTATCTAAAGCCATTCTCTTTAAAAAGGAAATATGAGCTGATACTCTTTGTTTCACCTGGTATGCTTCATCTTACATTTATTTGGCAATTTTCTCTCTCCATGAAAAATGGGATATGTAGGACTCTCTCTAATTCACAACAATCATGTACAGTTAGGTTACAGATAAAGGTTTCACCTGCCCAGTTGTTTCTGACTCTAGGGCAGAGGTCCCAAACCTTTTGGGCATCAGGGACCGGTTACGTGGACAGAGGTTTTTCCACGGATCGGAGGAGGCGTGGGTTTGTGTGCTGCCTTTGTGCGGACCGGTTGCTGGCATACTATGGCCCAGTACAGGTCCACAGACCTGGTGTTGGGGAATCCTGCTCTAGGGGGCAGTGTTCATTTCTATGTCTTAGCCAAGGGAGCATTGTCCAAAGACAATGATGCCAGACTAGCGACTTAATGTCTATGCTAATCTAGCTGGGAGAAAAGCAAAGCTTGATTTTGAGCCCTATCTAAGTGGAGTGTCTTGCACTGACAGCCAGCTGAGTTCAGCTTTTTCTTCCATTTTCAGCAGAACCTCCAAGATTTCTGCTTTGACTAATCCAGGGGTAGGCAACCTTGGCTCTTTTTATGACTCGTGGACTTCAACTCCCAGAATTCCTGAGCCAGCCATGCTGAGGGGAAAGGGAGAGGTTTCCAACCTGAGCCATGCTGGCTGAGGAATTCTGGGAGTTGAAGTCCACGAGTAATAAAGCGGCCTAGGCCTAGGCCAGAGGTAGGCAACCTTGGCGCTTTTATGACTTGTGGACTTCAACTCCCAGAATTCCTGAGCCAGCCATGCTGAGGGGAAAGGGAGAGGTTTCCAAGCTGAGCCATGGCTGGCTCAGGAATTCTGGGAGTTGAAGTCCACGAGTCATAAAAGAGCCAAGGTTGCCTACGCCTGGACTAAACTAATGTTTGTCAACCTTGCCAATTTGAAGATGTGGGGACTTCAGCTGCCAGAATTTTCCAGTCGGTTGAAGGTCACACTTCGTACAATTGTCACGGTTGAAAAACACTGGGTGAAAGCGTTCATTTATTTTATTTGTCTGCCATTCGTATCAAGATCTAAAGCAGTGTTTCTCAACCTTGACAATTTTAAGGCATGTGGACTTCAACTCCCAGAATTCCACAGCCAGCATTGCTGGCTGTGGAATTCTGGGAGTTGAAGTCCACATGCCTTAAAATTGTCAAGGTTGAGAAACACTGATCTAAAGCATCCTTATAGTATAGTCACATTCTTGATTCCACCGTTTGTATGGCCATCCACCTTTTTCTCCTTCAAAGTTTGGCAGCAAACGACTGGATTTCCGTGATGGGATTTTGTTCCGCTTTCTAAATGGGTTCCCCATACTTGAAAACCTACTTGGAAGGCCCAAAGCTTCAAAGCCATTCCGGGATTTGGGGAGATTTTGGAGTGGGGAGCAAAGCAACTGTTGGATTTCCATTGAGGTAATCCTTCACTTATGACCTGTCATTTAACAATGACCGTTCAGGTATGATGGACTTTTTAAAAAGCTACTTAAGACCCATCCTTGAAATTATGATTGCCCCCCTCCCTACCAGTGATCACATGATTGTGTTTGGGCATTTGGCAATTGGCTCTCATTGATGACTGGCTGTAGCATCTCATGATCACATGGCCATGCCAGTTTTGCTAGTTTCCAGCAAAAAAAAATGCCCACGCTTAATGACTCACTTTACACTTACCTTCACAAAAAATTGTAAAATCGAATCTAGCAACTTGGTGCCTCAACTTATGACAGTAATGACGTATGACCAAAATTCCAGGCTCTACTGTGGTCATAAATCGAGGATATCAATACTGCCTCCTCCCTAGAAGTCAAGAGGCTGTATGGTTGCCTTTGACCACTCAAAGCCTCTCAGCTCTGTACTGCTTTACTAATCCGAGCAAATACATTGTCAGCCTCCAGCTCGAATATCCAAGTAAAATCCAGGATTTCCTTCATTTCTGAAAATCCTACTGTTTTATTGAATACACGACATGGTATAGGCAAAGGAAAACTAACTCTAAAATCCCAAGATATCTAACCAAAGCACATAACAATGACATTCCCTGCCAAACCTCCCAGATGTCCCCTTCGCATTGTTTTGAGAACCTTCTTCACAGCAGTTAGAATGTCCTTGAAAAGTTTCCATAAACCTTTGTCTCAATAAATATCTGCAGAACTGGAGAGGTTTCATTTCTCTAACCAACCCATTTGAAGTCTCATCTCCCCCCCCCCACCTTAACTCTAATGACAAGATGAAAACAATAAGGCATGTAGCTGTCAGGTTTTCGCTCTTGACAGAATATAGTAGTAGTAGTAGTAGTAGTAGTAGTAGTAATAATAATAGTAGTAGTAAATAGAATAGAATAGAATAGAATAGAATAGAATAGAATAATAGAATAGAATATTAGAATAGAATAGAATAATAGAATTAATAGAATAGAATTAATAGAATAGAATAGAATAGAATAGAATATTAGAATAGAATAGAATAATAGAATTAATAGAATGGAATAGAATAATAGAATAGAATATTAGAATAGAATAATAGAATAGAATAGAATAGAATAGAATAGAATAGAATAGAATAGAATAGAATAGAATAGAATAGAATAGAAGAGAAGAGAAGAGAAGAGAAGAGTAGAGTAGAACAGAACAGGACAAAACCTTGGAGGTCTTCCAGTCCAGACCCCTGCTCAAGCAGGAGAACCTATAACATCTCAGACAGGTGAATGCCTAACTTCTTCTTAAAAAATCTCCAGTGATGGAGCACCCACGATTTCTGGGGGTAAGCTGTTCCACTGGTTAATTGTCTTCACTGTCAGGAAGTTTCTCCTTAATTCCAGCTTGCTTCTCTCTTTGATCAGTTTCCAACCATTGTTTCGCGTCCTTCCCTCTGGTGCTTTGGTGAACAACCTGGCCCCCTCTGCCTTGTGGCAGCCCCTCATACTTTCTATTAAGCCAACAATTGTGCTATGTTGGCCCAGATTAAGGGTTAAACACGTTGAGTAAGCTGAACCTTCCCGCTGAAAGGCAGCGCTTCGAATCTCACCTCTCCTTCGATGTCTCCCAGCAAAGTACTGGCACCCAAGCGAAAGAGTTCTGGTTTCAGCCATTCCTCTCCCAATTCCTCCTTCATCAGTGAAAGCCAGATCAAGGCCTCTTTGGCTTTGCGAATGCCTCCTGCAGGTTTAAATCCAACCTTAGGAAAGATTTTTTTTTTTAAAAAAAAAGAAATAACTATTATGTTAGACTCCAAAGAAGTCATTGCAGGTGTACAGCAAATAGGAATTTGCATATAAATGCATGCATCTATCTAAACATTGTGTGTGTGTGTGTGTGTGTGTGTGTGTGTGTGTCTAATTTACAGAAGGATTTCTTTCCTGCCTTCTCTCTCCAAAATGCAGGTGCACAAAGTGGCTTATAGGGTAATAAAATATAATGACAAGAAGAAACACACAACTAAATAAAAGAAAATCACTAAAAATATAAATGGAAGCAGAGAGTAGAACCTGATAACCATGGAGCTCCAGACATCTGGGGAGAGATACAGCATGTATTATATGAGCACTAAAAGCCTCAAAGCCAATTTGGGGGGGAACCAGAGAGTTTACTTTTAAAGAAGAAATATCTTTCTAATATTGAAAATCTTGAAAAATGGCACAGCAAGTTAGCTGGGAAGAAGTATTTAAATGCAACGAATAAAATTGCAGTAAATTTAAAAGATTTGGAATGAACTATATATTAAAAAGTGAGGGGAACGAAAGAGTGAATAAAACTCACACGTGGCGTTCACACCTAGGGCAGAGGTGAAAGTTCACAGTAGACATCTAAGGCAGGGGTGCCCAACCCCTGGGCCCCGGCCCACTACCGGGCCTTGATTCTTTTGGAACTGGCGAGCAAGCATGGATGTGCGCGCATCCCCACTCGTGTGAGCAGTGGGCAGCCGTGTGCACATACTTGCCCACCACATACACGGAACTATCCTCTCTCTCCTGCCCCCACCAGTCCGCAAAGTTGAAAAGGTTGGGGAACTCTGATCTAAGGCACTTAATAGTAATAACCTCCTGAATATTATTATAATAATAATCATAATAATAATAACAACAACAATAAAGTTGGAAAGGACCTTGGAGATCATCTAGTCCAACCCCCTGCTCAGGCAGGAAACCCTATACCATTTCAGACAAATGGCTGTCCAGTCTCTTCTTAAAAACTTCCAGTGTTGGAGCATTCACCGCTACTGGAGGTAGGTTGTTCCACTGGTTAATTGTTCTCACTGTCAGGAAGTTTCTCCTTAGTTCTAGGTTGCTTCTCTCCTTGATTAGTTTCCATCCGTTGCTTCTTGTCCTGCCTTCTGCCGCTTTGGAGAATAGCTTGACTCCCTCTTCTTTGTACTGCTATCATGTCCCCTCTCGTCCATCTCTTCATTGAACTAGACATACCCAATTCCAGCAACCGTTCCTTATATGTTTTAGCCTCTAGTCCCCTAATCATCTTTGTTGCTCTTCTCTGTACTCTGTAGAATCTCAACATCTTTTTTACATCATGGTGACCAAAACTGGATGCAGTATTCCAAGTGTGGCCTTACCAAGGCATTGTAAAGTGGTATTAATACTTCACATGATCTTGATTCTATCCCTCTGTTAATGCAGCCTAGAACTGTGGTGGCTTTTTTGGCAGCTGCAGCACACTGCTGGCTCATATTTAGGTGATTGTCCAGTAGGACTCCGAGATATGAAGTAGAAGAATATTCCAGACAGCAGTGAGGCATTAAAAGAATACGGCACCACCAGCCAGAAGATGAAGAGTTGGAAATTTCCCTTCTTTTCTGATTTGGAGCACCTATGAATCCTCCAGTTTCCGAAATTCGGAATTCCTCAGGGAGGAGAGAGAACCAAAACTACTAGATTGCCATTACTACTTCTCTTAAGGAGCACAGTGGCTTGAGTGGTTGAAACGCTAGGCAGGAGGTTAGCAAGCCCGTGTTTGAGACCCGAGAACTGCTGTGGGGCGGGGTTGAGCTCTCCTCCTTCCCCCCAGCTCCTGCTGGGGACATGAAAGGCATCTTCAAGGCAATGGTGACCTCACCAGCAAATCCTTTCAACCTGGAGCCACCTTGGTGCTTCTGACATGAGTACAAAAAGCTACTTCTCTTTTCTGCTCTTATTAGCGATAAATCAATCCAAAGGAAAGTTCTAGTCTGCAAAATAATTTCTGGATTTGGTGTATGTACTTTCATTGACTCAACAAAGGTGGGTCCTTCTGCTCCAATTCTGAAGGGCTATCTTTGGTGGTTTTGCCCTCTAGGCTTCCAGAATAGGTGAGTCATATATAACATAACAAGGACATGTCCCTTAAAAGCAGCTGTTAAAGCATCTTTATTCTACTAGTAAGCAGCACATGAAGATGAGTCCCTATTGAACTACAACTCCCAACATCCTTTTCAACTGCACTAAAAAGAACAAGCTCAACGAAAGGAGAAAGCTTTTTGTTCCCATTGCCGGCCAATGAAGCCAAGCTTCTTCTACTCTCGGAAACAATAAATAACCTTCATGAACATCAACCCTTGATCTGAATTTCTGTATTTCCACTTCTTACCAACTTTATCCCTGAATGCACTGGGTGGCCTGTAAGAAATGGTAGCCTCCATGCAGTGATGGGATTCAAATAGGTGAACAACCAGTTCTCTGTGTGGATGCCACTTCCGGAAGTCCATTCTGGGCCTGGGCAACAACAAATTAGCTACCGGTTCTGCCAAAATGGTACGAACCGGCTGGATCCCACCACTGCCTCCATTTCAGAAAAAGAGATGACAAAGTGCTTAAAAAAAAAAAAAAGGAGGCAGAAGGAAGAACATGGTTCAAATACATCTATGGTTTGTCTTCGGCAGGGGTGGGTAAATATGACAACTTTATGACCTGTGGACTTCAACTCCCAGAATTCCTGAGCCAGCATAGGAATTCTGGGAGTTGAAGTCCACAGGTCATAAAGTTGCCATATTGCCTTCCCCTGTAGAAGAGGCTTCATGCATGTAACTTGGATTTTCTTTCATTTGCTCCTGCATACAAAGCTGCTTCTGAAATATCCGTAAATTTTGTTTGTGTGGTGCAGTAAACTGATCTTAGTAGTACTAATAGTACATTGCATCTGTATTATATATAAAATGGCAACTCAGCCTGTAAGGCCTTGGAACTTGACCTTACCTTATTTTGCCACCTGAAACATTCACATTCCCACAAATAATTCCATTTCTCCTCTCCCCAAATGAGCCATTATCCATACTGTAATGGCATGTTTTGTCCTAGAACCATAAAAGATTTGGCTACTATTTCTATGCGGTTTCACAGCATTTCATTATTTTGTTTAATAAGTTCATCTGCCTGGGATTTTTTTTTCTCATCACCTTATATTATTAAAAGTAATAAGTTTCTCTGGGCTAGGAATTCCCCAACAGAAAAACCAATTTGTGTGTGTCCTTCAGTGATGACAGGGGAAAAAAAAGAGATTATTTCCTATTATGCCAAATACTTTCTATATTGCTGCAACAGCTTATCATTCAATAAATGTTAGTCTGCAGCCCACTTCCATCCCTGCGAGACGTTTAATTTCTACATTAACCTGTTTTTACTAGCCAATGCCTTAGTAGAAAAGCATCTGTGTGGGAGCCGAATTGGTTTGTTAAAGAAAGCATTTAGACATCTCTTGTCAATGATAAAATGATCTTTGTCTAATAAAAGGATATAAACTCCGTTTACAACTATTTCTCATTATTATTGTTTCCAGAGTGAGCACATGCACTGGATTCTTTTGGTTAAGAGAACTTTAAATTTCTGCCCAATGAATCCTCTTTTAAGTGAATGAGAAATGGAATCATTACAAAGGTGTTTTTTCAAGAGGCAACTGGACTTTCTTTGTTTTTACTTGAAGACGTTTTGCTTCTTATCCAAGAAGCTTCTTCAGTTCTCCAAGGTCCTGTTCTATTCTATTCTATTCTATTCTATTCTATTCTGTTCTATTCTATTCTATTCTATTCTATTCTGTTCTATTCTATTCTATTCTATTCTATTCTATTCTATTCTATTCTATTCTATTCTCCAATCTCTCTATTCTATTCTATTCTATTCTGTTCTATTCTATTCTATTCTATTCTATTCTATTCTATTCTATTCTATTCTATTCTGTTCTACTCTACCCTACCCTATCCATGTGTCCTGTATTTCTGTTCTGTATTTCTGTATTCCTGTATTTCTGTGTATTTCTCTCTCCCTCCCTCCCTCCCTCTCTCTCTCTCTCTCTCTCTCTCTCTCTCTCTCTCTATCTATCTGCCTATTCTAATGTCATTGTAACTTCGAATAGTCACTAACTATGTAAGTCGAGGACTATCTGTATGAAGCAATTCATAAGTGCATCACTCTGCCACAGCTCAAAGGATAAAGAACAACTGCCCCATGAACATAGGTATCTACAGAAGAATGAGGGGAATTATGTGCACAGCGTGATGTCATTTATGCAGTGACCTGCCACGCAAGACATTTTGAGATAATTGTGTCTTGTAATGGATGCCACTGAGTATGGTCCTCAGGTGTCATTTGTTCACATATCAAATAGGCAATCTAAGTGATTTTTTTTTGTAAGGCCAACTAGGCCAAAATTGTAAAAGCTTTCTCAATGGATTCTGGATGAAAAATGCATGAACAAAATGAATGAAAAATGGCCGTGTGTCTAGCTTCACTTCTTTGATCGGGAAATATGTATCTTTGTAAGTGATTAATCCTTCAAAACTGTCATGTTTATCGTGCGTGGTTTCCCCAATGGTGGGGATTTTTTGTTTTATTTTTCTTGGAAACAGTCAATTTTGAGGCCAAAGATTCTAGGAAGAGAAATGCTTAAGATCTTCCGTTGAATCATTTATGGGGTCAGGTATTTTATCCTGAAATGCATTGTTGCTGAGATGTGGAGAACTACGTGAAGTCCTAACAGAGATATCATGAGTGCACGAGGTTGGCTTAAAGGTAGCTAGTGTGAAACAACTTCCATTCCAATTTTGCTCAGGAGTGACCACATTTGTGTAATTTAGGGGGAGAAAGACAATCCACAGGTTAACATCATCACAAGATGCAGCAAAAAGCTGGTAGTCAACTTCTATAGCAGTGTTTCTCAACCTTGACAATTTTAAGGCATGTGAACTTCAACTCCCAGAATTCCACAGCCAGCATCGCTGGCTGTGGAATTCTGGGAGTTGAAGTCCACATGCCTTAAAATTGTCAAGGTTGAGAAACACTGATCTATAGCTCCTAGACCACTCATATCTCTTCCTTGCTTTGACAGCCTGTTTGATTGGCCTCTTTAAGAAAGCTATGTTACATGTATGTAGAAAAGGAGTCCTCCTCTTCTATGCCATGAGACCATAAAGAGCTTTCCAACACTCCAAGAAATACTACCAAACTTCGGCAAGAAAATGGCTGACTTTCAGTGGCCTACAGGTAGTCCTCGACTTACAACTGTTTGTTTAGTGACCGTTCAAAGTTACACTGCACTGAAAAAAGCGATTGATGACCATTTTTCACACTTATGACCATTGCAGTATCCCCGTGACCATGCGGATGCTGCAACAGTCGTAAGTCTGAAAACCCGTCATAAGTCACTTTTCCAGTGCTGCTTTAACTTTGAATAGTCAAATGAAGACTAAATGAACTGTTGCAAGTTGAGGGTTACCTGGATGCACGTGGGAAAAACATGGGAAAGATGTATGCAACACAGAAAAATAATTTTTTCCAAGGCGTTCTATTTTATTTTGTCTTCCCACCATTGTCTTCCAGCCTAAGATACGCATTCGGGGACTAAAATGCAGGAGGAAGAACAACACATCCCTAGAAGAGGGGAAGGATAAAAATCTTATAACGAAAAATCTTATGAAAAAGTCTTATTAAAAACCTTAAACATTTCACTTTTTTTTTCTTTTTGAGCAAACTGTTTTCAAAACGATGAGCGATTATGTTACCTTATAGCCAGTTTTCAAGTAGTAGTCTCTGATAGCTCTCACCATGACCAGGCCTACTGGGAAAATAGCATTAACCGCTTCTTTTCCTGTAGATGTCTTGATAAAATCAGAACCTTGGAAAAAAGAAGGAGGAGAAAACTTTATGTCAGCAAAATATAGTATCAGAACTCCTGGATTTAAGGTTTGTTTTCAACACTGATTCCCCTCTCTTTTAAAAGGCAGGAAATAATGGAATTTGCAATAAAAGTTGTGACGGAAAATCGCTTCAGTTCAGAATTGCCAGCCAAAAATCTTTCTCTACTCCATTTTGATTTCCTTTTCAAAAGTCAGCATTTATTTATTTTCTACAGCCACCTGTCTCAGACAAGGGACTCTGGGTGATTAATAACAGAATAACAGAGTTGAAAGGGATCTGGGAGGTCTTCTAGTCTAACCCTCTGCTGAAGCAGAAGACTCTATATCAGTGGTTCTCAACCTTTCTAATGCCGTGACCCCATAATACAGTTCCCCATGTTGTGGTGACCCCCAAGTGGGTGTGGCCACCAATAAGAGGGAGTAGGACAGCTAGGGAAAAGGGAAAAAAATGGCGGACAGCGTGATTTGGCGACCCCCGTGAAATAGTCATTCGACCCCAAATGGGGTCCCAACCCACAGGTTGAGAACCACTGCTCTATATCATTTCAGACAGACTGGGTGTCCAATCTCTTCCTAAAAACCGCCAGTGTTGGAGCACTCACAACTTCTGAAGTCAAGATGTTCCACTGATTAATTGTTCTAACTGTCAGGAAATTTCTCTTTCGTTCTAGGTTGCTTCTCTCCTTGATTAGTTTCCATCCATTGGAAATCAAAACAAAGCACCCTTCAGTTGCTTTGGAGAATAAGTTGACGCCTATTTTCTATTCTTCTTTGTGGCAGCACTCTAGATATTGGAACACTGCTATCATGTCAACCCTACTCCTTCATTTTATTAAACTACGCATACCCAAATCCGGCAACTGTTCCTTATACGTTTTAGCCTCCAGTCCCCTAATCATCTTCGTTGTTCTTCTCTGCAGTTTTTGTAGAGTATCAACATCTTTTTTATATCGTGGTGACCAAAACTTGGATGCACAGTTGTAAAAGCCATTAACACCAAACACCGTACAATCAGTGCTTTTTTCAACCAAGAAAATTATAACCATAAACATTAGTACAACCAGGAAATGGGGCCCTAAACACACTGAGATCTCAGGCCTGGGCACATAACCAGGTCTTCACAGCCTTACAAAAGGCTAGCAGAGCCATCCTGATCTCTGAAGGAAGAATGTTCCAGAGGACAGGAGCTACAGCAGAGAAGTCTAATAAAGAAAAAGCGTCATCTGACTGAACCTGGAACTAACTTTGCTGCTTTTGTCTTTGATATACTTTCAGAAATTATCCAGCTAACTTTCTGACAACTAAATTATCCAGACAACTTTCCTAAGAATCCTATAGATAGCAATAGCACTTAGATGTATATATTGCTTCAAAGTGTTTTACAGCCCTCCCTAAGCTGTTTACAGAGTCAGCATATTGCCCCCCCAAAAAAATCTGGGTCCTCATTTTACTGACCTCGGAAGGATGGAAGGCTGAGTCAATCTTTAGCAGGTCAGAATCGAACTGCAGAACTGCTGGCAGCTGTCAGTCAGCACAAGTAGCCTGCAGTACTGCGTTCTAACCACTGCGCCACCACGGCTCATGGGCTATAGATCTGTAGTTCTCAACCTTTTCTTCACCACGGACCCCCTTTAAATACCTTAAATGGAACATGGCCATGGACACCCAAAACTTAACTCAAGATTTAAATCATAACGTTTTTTTCAAGCCTTTGCAGATCCCCTGTGATGACATTATCCACTGCCCCCCCCCCCTATTGGCCTGCGGACCACAGTTTGAGAACCAATGCTACAGACAACCATGTTAGATTCAATCCCAATATTTTCTAAACCGGTAAGACCTTCCATATCATTGACATTTGAAATACTTATTTTGCATGGTTATGCCAGAGATTTTTAGGTATACAAAACATGTCTTCCACCTCTTCGCTATGTTGGCTGCCCTGCTGAGCTTTTCTTAACATGGATGAAACGAGAAAGTTTCCTCGTTAGAAAGGAAAAGCAAACTTCTTTGCATCAACTCGTATGTTCTCCCTCCCCTCATTTTTTTTAAAAAAAAATTGCAGAGTTTAAGCCCTTTTGTTTAAGTCTCCCACCTCTATCTCCCACTTCCTCCTATCGGAGTAAGGTAAGTCAAAGCTTTTATAATTCTGATAATTAGAAATCTCAATGGTATGGTTTCATTAAAAACTTCCATTAAACAACATCTGCCCTTGTATAGGGGTCTCATAATCAATTTGGTCAAACAGAAGGGCTTCTAATCGGCTGTTGATAAAAATAGAAGATGAAATTTTAATTCTAATAGATTAACCACAAACTCAGGATAGTCTTCAAAATCCATCTCGCTGTATTCTCCAGTGGATTTAACGACTATTCAGCAACTCATTACTAAATAGAACAAGATGAACATTTTCCAGTTCATTAAAGAAATGTACTATGTATTTTTGCATTGTCCTCATGATTCGTTACAAGGAGTCTTAATTACAAGATAATGGATAAAGGTTATTAAATGCAGGCTCCAGTAATGAAGCTCTATTCATTTGCAAGCCTCGGAGACTGCAAAGAGGGGAAAATAAAATTACTAGCTTCGAAAGATTAACGGATCAAATTATTATTCAATTTTGAAAATCTCATTCAGACTTTGCAGAAACAAGAAAGGATTTTTTTTAAATAGTAGTATTAGGATTATAGTGAAACACTTATTTTTAAAAATAAAATAATATCTTAAGGCTATTAACAGAATAATCGGCTTCGATGTGATTATCAAAATACAGCCAATTTAGCAGCATCTTCTAACAATGAAAACAATGGTCTATTTTATTTTATGGAACAAATTCTATTTATGATTCAAGCGAGAGTTTCCTAGCAGAATACCGTAAAGAACTCTGAAGATGGATGCTGGCACGGAGCTTTACAATATAAAGGTACTATTAACATTTTATATTTCTCTAATGAAAACAGGGAGAGGGAGAGAAAAGGAAGCTTTGCTGTTAAAATGGAGGCTCTTAAACATATTTCATATTAGCTTTATAAATAAGGTGTTTCTAACTATATAATTCACCTGTCAATGTTTTTTTTCTTTTTTTCTCAGGTTGGTAAGAAAAAAAAGAACAAAGTTTAGGCAAAGAAGAAAGGGTCAAAGTTTGATTTCCTTGTGGGAAGCCATTGTGATTAGCAGCAACATAAATTCTATGTATCGAGAGCAAAAGTGAAGACTGGGAATAACATCAAATGAAACCCAACCTGTCAAGGCACATAATAAGGTGGTATTTTGAGAACAAAAACTCTGCATCACACAAAGGAGGACAAAAGAAGCCAGATTTACCTTAAAAGTACACATATTAACGTATTTGCACAGAAGCATGTTGGAAAATAAACTCCATAACTGAATCTGAAATATAATGCATCTCATCATACTGAAGAGACTGGGGAGGGGTTAATGAGCATGCTATGCCAAAACATAGTTTGTTTTAGTTTACTGTGTTACACAAGCCAGTTTTAAACAGGGTTTATGGTTTAGCACAGGGGTAGGCAACCTTGGCTCTTTTATGGCTTGTGGACTTCAACTCCCAGAATTCCTGAGCCAGCCATGCTGAGGGAAAAGGGAGAGGTTTCCAAGCTGAGCCAAACTGGCTCAGGAATTCTGGGACTTGAAGTCCATGAGTCATAAGGTGGCCTAGGCCAGAGGTAGGCAACCTTGGCTCTTTTATGACTCGTGGACTTCAACTCCCAGAATTCCTGAGCCAGCCATGCTGAGGGAAAGAGAGAGGTTTCCATGCTGAGCCATGCTGGCTCAGGAATTCTGGGAGTTGAAGTCCACAAGTCATAAAAGAGCCAAGGTTGCCTACCCCTAGTTTGGCATGTTGTACAAATCCAGGCAATTGTGATTAATTCAATAAGCAAGGGTTAAATATACCATAGCTCAGAGAGTGTGCCAACCTGGCCCTTGAAACTAGGTGCTTGTCTGCTAGCCAGGTGCTAAATATGGATAGGCAACTTCAAGGTGTTTTACTTTCTTTTTTTAACAGATCTTTATCTTTATTGCGAACTCGAGCGTAGAAAAACTTTCAGATGGAAAGCTATCCTTTCAAAAAGCAAGAATACCTAGGCATGTAATCAGGAAGCCTCAATAATTAAATCTAGAGCCCCAACCTAAGAAAAAGTCACAAGTTCTTTCTAGTTATGAATTTGTGAATCAGAAATGTCTTCAACAGATCAAAAATGGTATCGTGTATGGAAAGCTACTCTCCAAGTCTTCTCTCCAACATTCTCATTTCAGTGGACAGGATTTTTTAAAAACTTGGCAGGCTTTCTATATGACTTTTTCCAGGCTTACTGCAAACTACCGTATTGCAGCTGATTGCAGGAGAGTTGCACTATTCATTTATGGAAGCCAGATTCCGTTGATTTAGTGGATTCACCCAACTCTTGTCTTGAGTTCGTAGGTCAAGCTTTAGAGCTTCAAATATCTTCCCAAAGTCTTCCTTAAACTATCCTGTGGCTGCAATCTGGCCTAGATATAATTGAGACCAGAACTCAGTCAAGGAGATTCTGTTTCAAAAGTCCATTTGATGTCAGGTCAACAGGCCATTTTTAATTTCCATGGCTTTGAAGGATTTGGCTTTACCAGTGAATCAGAAATTAATTCTACCACATATAATGAGAATATTCATTCATTCAGAATAACAGAGATGGAAAGGGACCTTGGAGGACTTCTAGTCCAACCCCCTGCTCAGGCAGGAAACCCTATACCATTTCAGACAAATGGTTGTCCAATCTCTTCTTAAAAACTTCCAGTGTTGGAACATCCACAATTTCTGAAGGCAAGCCATTCCTCTGATTAATTGTTCTAACTGTCAGGAAATTTCTCCTTAGTTCTAGGTTGCTTCTCTCCTTGATTAGTTTCCATCCGTTGCTTCTTGTCCTGCCCTCAGGTGCTTTGGAGAATAGCTTGACTCCCTCTTCTTTATGGCAATCCC